CTGCTTGTCAGCATTGCCAATTCTAAATGTCCACAATTGAAATTTTCATCAGTGAATGTAAGCTACCTCATTCTTGATTACTCTCCATATCCACCTTGTTGACCAGATAAACAAACACACAAACATGGATTTGGCTTTAAATTTTGGAAGCAAAGGATTGGAAATCTGTTGCCAGTTCATGTTGCCTTTCCCTAAAAGTGTTGCAGAAGCCCACCCATTTCTGTCTTACCACTAAAAACTCCTTGTCACTTCCTGTCTTGACTGTTACAGCTGTCCCACCACTTCTGCCTTTCATTTTTCCTTCCTGTACTTCAGTCCTCTGTCCTCCAACTTTGGTCACAAATCTTGCTCCTAAAAGCACTTTTGGGCAACACCTATGCCAGCCCTTCTCCTCTTTCTTTATGCTGAGAGTTGGTGGGGTTCTGCCTGATAAATCAGGAGGGAAATATTAAAAAGGGCAGTCCCCATATTCCAAAAGCCAGGGAGCAGGTGGAGACAGCTGGAAAAGATAGTCTATATTCCTCTTATAATGAAAAATGGATGAATTGCCCATTTCAAAGCCCATATCTGTTTCCAGCATTTCATTCTCAGCTTGCCACCCTCACCTTTCCCCCTTATCTTTAATTCTCCAGTGGCATAATTCTGACCCATCACTAACTTTTTTTATTTGTCAACCCAGCCCACCTTGTCAATTTGCTATTCTCCTTTTGGCCTCCTAATGACCACTTTCTCATTTCCCCACAATAAGAAGTTGTCACCAACCAAATAGAGGTTGTCTGACTAATGTTGGACAATAATTTGTGCTTCTCTGTCAGCTTGAAGCTGCTGAATGAGAGCAGTGACACCAATACATGCTCAAGCTTGTACTCAGTTCTGGGATTTAAATAATGCCTTGTGGCCGCACTAAACATCTTAATACAAACTTTGCCAAGTTGGTTTATGGGATCAAAGTGGAGAGACAGACTGAAAGAAGAGCCTTGTATTTAGACTTTGTAGTTATTCTGATTAATTTCTAGTAGTTATAGTGAAAGAAGGGATATTATTATGCGGTCTTAGAAAAGCAGATGTACTTTTAAAGAAAAAAACAAGTCTACACTGTAATTTTGTGGGCCTAAAATCAACCCATGCATATAAAATAGAATGCCTACGTGGGCTTCCTATTCAAGACAACTCATGGATAATGGAATTAATTTATAGACCATTTAAATAGCATTCAGTTACTGAGGACTTGTGAAACCGACTTTAACAAGGCAGCAAAATTTGCATATACAAGTCAATAGAGTGAGTTTTTTTAAGCACACATGAGAACATTACTGTGGAAGCAGATGAAATTCTGAATAATTCTTTAGCATGGAGATATTTGCTGGGGTTGAAAATTTTGACTGAAACAAATGTGCAAAGCTTGTATAATAAAGCAGTCTTGACTGAAAGGCTTACAAAAGGGAAGAAAAACACAGGTAATGATTAATGTGCTAATATAAATAGTGGTAACACTTTCTGACAGCTGATTTGATTGCAGTTTATAGTGCCATTTTGTTTAATTATTCCTCTGAAGGATTATATATCAGATACATTCTTCATAAACAAGTCTTTGAAATGCCATGTTGTCAGTATTTTTTAAAAAGTCATTCACCGGTGGTTTAAAACATGGAAATATATGAAAATCCATTTATTTTCATTTCAGTACATCCTTGCTTCTTTGCAATTTTCATTGCCAATCTAAGAGATCATCAGGTTAATACTTCAAAGAAAATGTTCCTGTTACTTTTTCAAGGAGGTTACTTTGATTCTTTCTTGACTTTATAGAGTTCTAGTCAGTTTGATGGAGCAAAAAAGAATACAGAGTGACTGCTGTAAGGAAAAGTATACGTGATGGGGTCTGGCCTCATTACCACACCGGAGAGCAGAGGAAGCTGCCTTATTCTGAGTCAGACTGTTGATCCATCTAGCTCAGTAAGGAATCTTTCTCCTGTCCCTACCTGGAGACACCAGGGATTGAACATGGAACATTGAAGATGCTCTACCATTGGTGTCCTTGAAATAGGAGTACATTAGGACAGAAATAGGTGCTATTCACTTTTGAAAATGCTACATAGCAATTAATGGGAAAGTACATATCCCATTGTACAGTGGATGCTCGGGTAGCGAACGTGATCTGTGCGGGAAGCATGTTCGCAACCCACAGCATCCGCAACCCGCAGCACCGTGTCTGCGCATGTGCAGGTTGCGATTTGGCGCTTCTAAGCGTGTGCAAAGCGCAGTTTAGTGCTTCTGCGCATGCGCAAGCACCGAAACCCGCAAGTAACCCATTCCGGTACTTCTGGGTTTGGCGTGGTGCACAACCCGAAATTGCGCAACCCGAAGCATCTGTAACCCGAGGTATCACTGTATTTTCTTTCTCATTGTACTTTTTCTTTTATCCCATTTGTACGTGCACTGCTTTGGTTCACCAGAAGCGGTTTAGTCATGCTGGCCACATGACCCGGAAGCTGTATGCCGGCTCCCTCGGCCAATAAAGCGAGATGAGCGCCACAACCCCAGAGTCGTCCGCAACTGGACTTTGGTGGTCAGGGGTCTCTTTACCTTTACCTTACATATCCCATACCTACTAAAGATACCGTTAAAAACTGCTGTGTGTGAGAGAGAGGCTTTTTACCTTTGACCTAGGAAGCACTGTTCTTCATTTTAAAGGGGCTGCATTATAATAATGCAAAAAAGAAGCCCACAATTGTGAACTTGTGGAGTCAGGAAATGTAGTTCTCAACAATATTAATGTTAGTTGATGCCAGCAACAGTTATGCACGTATCTGTTGTATCAGGGCTGGTCATGCTCTTGGAAATTAGATCCTACTTTTTTGCAGGTACTGCTTGAAATACTACTTAAACCTGCAGAATCAGTTGGACCAAAGTCGACAGCAGTCTTTCTACTTACGAGTTCTCAACTCTTAGCTTTTCTGTCCTGCTCAATGCTAACTGTCTTATTTCTCTTCCTTCCTGGTTCTGAGTGACTTTGAAACAAAATTGCTATGTAGGGAGGGTGAATGCTCTAATTCTTATGGTAACTCATTCTCTCTGAAGTATTTAATTAAAAGCAGTTAGCCTCTCCTTTGTGTAACATTTCTGTTGAGACACTTGATGCTCTTTAAGAATCATTCCCTTGGGAAAAGTTGTCTACTGACATGCTTCTGAAGGTTGAACGGGATAAGTTGGGATTGCATCTAAAGTTCATTCTAACACTTTTTGTTCAGGTTTATATCTGAAGCTTTAAATTAAAGGGGCCTATAACCTTCTTATGAATTGAGCCTGAAAGCAAACTGGAAACCAGTGAACTTGTTTTGAAGCAGGAGTAATGTGACCCAGAAGCTACGCTGAACCAGAATTTTTGCTGTTACAATTGCATTTTGAATCACTTACAGCTTCCAAAGGTCTTCAGGGCTTTAAACACTTACCTTCTGCTGGAGCAGGACTTTTAAGAGTCCATGAATTTCATTTCTCAGCTTGACTTAAGGGGACTTTGTTCATATTCCTGGTGATCACTGATTGCACCTCAAATTCCCCCACAGTCTCACCCACCAGGTTCATGTACGTGCTAAACATCATAGGGGACAAGACATAATCCTGTAACATCCTGGAATAATTTCCATGAGGCTAGATGGTTTCCTAGCATCACCTTCTGAAACCTTTCTGCTAAATAGTCTTGGAACAACTTTAAGTAGTGCCCCTAATCAGGAACTAGTGGCCTAGGAGTACTTAATGCTATTGAGACAGGCAGCAGAAGTAACAGTGTAATGCTCCCCATATCTTCTACCGACTATCATCAGCAAATTGTGAATTAGTATGAATTGCATTTCCCAACTTAATTTGATTGTATAAAGGTCTTTGGCTTCTGACATCCGCTTCTGGGTATCAGGAGAATGAGCCATCTTGGAAATGAAACTGTTAGGTTCAAATAAATGAGAAACAAATAATTTCATAAGGAATAAGCAAACTTGTCAAAAGATGCTTAGTGATTCAAAATACAAATATCATTTATTAATAGCAAATATATGTCTCAACAATAGATATCTGAAATTATATTTGTCAAAATAAATAGCACCGTATCCTCTTTAATAGAGAATTGCTCAAATTAATTGATATGATTAGTTTTATAAATGAGGTTTCAAACATAACCAGCAAAACTCATTCAGTGTTCTTCAGGTTTCTTTCTCTCTCTCTCTCTCAATCTCTCTAAACCTCATTTCCCTCTATGAGCCTAGTGAAGAGATGCTTCCAAAATGTGTTTCAGTGTGTCATACTATATATTGAATTTTTGTTCATGTGTGTCCAGCTGTTAAATAGATATTTACATGGAAAGGTAATAATGGCCAATAGAAAAATGTTGGAAGTAAAGAGATTTGTGCCAGATGAAATTTATGTGCTTGAATGGCTAACAGCCACTACTGTCATGTAATGCATATTCCATAATAGAATGTTTACATGTGATCATTAGTGTAAACTCTTGCCATTGATGGTTGTTGTTTTTAATGGATATTACTGGAACTTGCCTCATGTATGTTTAGCAGATGCTAACACTCAGTTTCTTCATCTGTAGAAGAAAGAACCCGTTTTCTGAATGTGCCAGAGAAAGGTCATTTTTAGGTTGACTAGCGTTTGATTTTTAAAAATATATTCTTTGCCATAAAGTTCCTTTACATAACTTTTTCTTTAAAAAGAAAAACTTTCTTTAAAAAACAGTGGTAGAGTTACCCTGGAAAGCATGCAATTTTGTATGTTATGATATCACACCTAAGCCTTAATTTTTGGATAGAAATTTGCTGTAGCATGCTTTTAACATCCTATTGTGTAGTAGCAGCTTACTCTTGAGATTATGTTCTTAGCATGTTGCTGATTGAATAGTCTCACTGAATCATCCCTTTAGGTCTATTCCTGCTAGCTCACAGAGGTTTTATAGGAATGCAGTATTTTGTAGACTAAACACTGGTGTGTATTTCTTGCTGCAGGATAAAAAATGGATTCTCAATCATGAAGATGTCACACTGGGAGAATTACTGGGCAAAGTAAGTAAACATCTGTTCTTAATGAGGAAAAGTACACCTTAGCCTTGGAGAATAGTTGTGATATCGAGGATGGTGGGCTTCTTCCACCACCTACTAAATAATAACATTGCTTTGTAGCAGAATTGTATTTTTTTTTAAAAAAAGTCATATAATAGACCCAGTCAAAGTTAAGCAGATTTTAAGACCTATTTCAGTGAGAGAGGTTTAAGCACGAGGATAGAAAAGTGTTTAACTTGAGTAAAAAATATGTCCAAAGTTATCAATAATTTTAAAATAGCTTTGTTTTGTAATGCAAATATTACTGTACTTTTCTGTCCATAAGATGAGGGTTTTTAATATTAAAAATTAGCTTTAAAATTAGCCCTTGTCTTATACATGGGCAGTGCAGAAGGGGGTTGGGCGATTGGTCGCAGCCACGAGGAGGAGATTGTAAGTGGTGATAGTGTGGGTGATTGGTGGCTGCTGGAAGGGCTGCTGGTGATTTGGTGGCTGCGTGCCCTCGGCAACGCGTGCGATTGTCAGCGATTTTCCCAACCTGCTGTGCATTATTAGTTTCATATCTTTACATAATTTCCTTTTCCACCATTGCTATTTGCTTTTTAGGTTTTTGCACATGTTTTCCCCTCACTCACCCCCATCTGCGGTTTTTGTTTTCTGAAATTCATACCATCATGGAATCGTAGTGTTTGATAATCTAGTCCAGCCTCCTGCAATACAGGAATTGCAACTAAATCATACATGACAGATGGCCATTTAACCTCTGTTTATAAACCTTCAAGTCCACCAGGCACAGCATGCTCTTGCCAGTATCAAAACAATGAAGGGGCAAAATTTACTTGCTAGAAGCTGCGAGACAATGGAGAATTTAGGGAGAGGAGCTCACATAGTGTCCAGTAACTAGCGAAGAAGAAGAAGAAGAAGAAGAAGAAGAAGAAGAAGAAGAAGAAGAAGAAGAAGAAGAAGAAGAAGAAGAAGAACAATGTCTCCAAACTGTTTACAACACATTAAAACATCAGCTAAAACAATCCTGAATAAAACATTACGGAAGAAAGTCAAATATAAACTATACATTCAAAGCAACATAATTAACAGGAAACTAATATATCTTAAAGATTTCAAAATAAAACATTACAAATGCGGTCAACTAGAGAATGTACATTTAACACAGCAAAGTTAACAAAACATTTTCAAAAAAACATTTCAAAAGAAAACATTACTAAAAATATTTTTTGCTGCTGTGCAGATTTGCCAACCTAGCTTTGCCCAATTACCTGCAGACTTCTCTAAGTAAAGGAAGCAGCTGCAACCCTTCTTGCAGTTGCCAGTTTCTGTGACATGGTCCTAGCAGGATGTGTCTCTCCAGCCCCCAGTCACAGAGTGGTGTTTGGATGCTGGGCAGTAGCTGTCAGAATCTCTTGTATGCTCTGTATTAGTGTAAGCTCCAAGTGTTTGGACAATGCCTCTCTGGGCATATTGCATATACAGAGTAGGGCTTTGCATTCAACCTATGTGTGTGATATGAGGAATGTGGAACCTCCATAATGAAATGAGCCAGCTCATTCCTTTGTCTTCAGTTTTGAAACACACTGTAAACATTGTGGGTGAAATTCAGAGAACGTTAGATGCGCATAAATCCTATTAAAATAAATGGGACTTAAGTGCATAACTGTAAGCTTATATCCCATGAATGTGAATGGTAATTATAGGTGCCTAATTTTCTTTGGGTTGTGCTGTACAGCTGCAACACAGAGCCTGGCCTGTGAACTCCCTGCACTCTTTTGTGTGTGAGCCAAATGCTGGGAGCACACTGCATGCACAGCAGTTTCCCATTGTACTTTTCTCTCACACAAGACAGTGGGAGGCTTCTGCATGTGTAGGATGTTTTCAGGTTTGTTTGGACATCATATGGAGATCTGCATAATTTCTACTTACTCATCCAAGTTATTAATGTCTGTATTGACTAGGTAAGGTAAAGTAAGGTAAAGGACCCCTGGACGGTAAAGTAAGGATCCTCTCATTTACGCCCATGGTTTGTATTTGGAGAAATAGTGGGAGTATGCCTCCTCTTCTGCATATCTCCCTTTGCTCCCAATCAGTGCCAACCTTAAGATTTTTTGTGGATTGAAGGTAGAGGCCAAATGGTGTTTCCCTCCAACCCAACCCCCCCACCTTGTTAGATTCCATTTACAGCTTTCATCTGTTCCCCACCACCACAACCTTGCAACGGTGTCACCTGAAATCACTTTCCCTTACTGCATGGTAGGGCCAGCCTTCCCATAATGCAGGGGAAACTCAATTGTGTGATCCCACAGTTACATAGGGACACGGGTGGCACTGTGGGTTAAACCACAGAGCCTAGGACTTGCCGATCAGAAGGTCGGCGGTTTGAATCCCTGCGACGGGGTGAGCTCCCGTTGCTTGGTCCCTGCTCCTGCCAACCTAGCAGTTTGAAAGCATGTCAAAGTGCAAGTAGATAAATAGGTACCGCTCCGGCGGGAAGGTAAACGGCGTTTCCGTGTGCTGCTCTGGCTCGCCAGAAGCGGCTTAGTCATGCTGGCCACATGACCCGGAAGCTGTACGCCGGCTCCCTCGGCCAATAAAGTGAGATGGCGCCGCAACCCCAGAGTCGGCCATGACTGGACCTTATGGTCAGGGGCCCCTTTACCTTGACCTTTACCTTACAGTTACATAAATATGGGATCTCTTGGTTTCTCCACTTGGGATGATCACACAACAGAACATGTGAGCCTAAGACCAGCTCATGAGACCTCTCTGGATGTGGCCTTAGGAAGCTTATTTCATCTGAGTTAAGGGATGACTTACATTTTTTTTCATTTTTATAGTTGAGCATCTCTGTTACAAGGAACACCCAAATGCCATAGCTAAAATAGAATTAAAACATTATTTTTTAAAAAACAACAACCCTAAAATAAAACAGCACAATATAGAAAACAAGAAACAACCTCCTATTATATCGGCCTGCCAGAAATATCAGCTGAAACAGTCATTTCCTCTCCACTTGTTGTGAACAGTGTTAGAAACAGAGATATGAAAGCTAGGAGCTAAATGGCAACTTAGTTATGGGCACAACAACAGAATATCTAGGCACGCTTTTTAAATAACAGGAGTACACAGCTGAAAATAAATGAACTGCAACTAAAATATTATGTTTGTTTTTCACATGGTCTGGTCATTCCCCTCCCCCCCTTAATATTCTTAAGAGGGTCTCTTCTCCAGTCTTCAGAGAGTAGCTGAAAGTGGGGAGGCAGAAAAAAAATGTCCTCCTTCCCAAACAGAGGACTGTCCCCTGACATCCATTCAAATAGATGATAGTCCTGTATGAAGTAGGACACATGGCCACCGTAGCAGGACCTGACCTGTAAGCTCCTGCTGGGATCCAGGGCTTCTTACATTCTTGCAATGCTGGAAGGAGAGGCATTTCTGTAGCTCCCAGGCCACTCAGGTCCCTTGAGTACTGGGCCTAAGTTGTTAAAAAGAAGAAACTTAAAATCATCCATACCACCATGTTCTTTTCCTCAAAATACTGCCTCCTCAGTCTTGGACGAAACTGGATCATGTACCTCAAGGCTAGAATGGCTTAGATTAAAGTGATTTCACGGTGTGATTAAATTACTTCAAGTTGTGTTATTTCAGCTCCTCTACCTAATTATTCCATATCCTGTGGCAAATGTCAATAGAAGCAGGTCTACCAAACTTCCTGAACAACTTAGAAATCCAGTTATTTTTGTAAGTCCTATTCCTTCCTTCCTGTAGGACCATCAACTACATCCAAGTATAAAGTGAAATGCGTAGGTATTGGATGAAGAGCAATTGACAGCTAAGCTGATAGCTCTTAAGATGTCATCCCCTCTACCTCCTGGCTATTCTGCAAAAAGCTATAACTGTCCAAGAAGCATCAGCCAAGGGAAATGACAGATGGACAATAATTCTGTTCCATTTGGTACAAACTATTAAGTAACCTTAATTTCAGCATTTTGCTAAATTATAAGAAATCTGGGCACACCTTCTGCCTTAATTTTTACTTGGTAGCAGATTCCTCATCCCAGTTGCCACCAACAAAGAGAGGGGCATTTTAGACTTCTCAGCTCCTGCCTTGCCATTCATTTTAGTGGTAGCAGTATTGCCACTTACAACTGTTTATGTGTTATGTTTTAATTCTCTGTGGCACTTTTCAGTGAAAAAGACCCCCAAGGAGACTCTCAAAGAAAATGCAAAACCCACACAATAAAACACCATTTACAAAAGTTTAAGACAATATCTTAGTGGCATATTTACATGCCCCCCCCCCAATCCAAACACATCCTTTCATCTGCCTAAAAGCAAAATGGAGTTTCCCCAAAATGTCAAAGAAAGCAAAGCAACTTTCCTTGAGAGGGTCCCTACTCCTTAGGCAGCCGCCTTCTAAGCAGCAGCTCCTTATGAGGGTTTGTACACAAGAGCAGAAGGGAAAGCTCACCCCTGATGGTTCCAAACATACTCTGTCCCTGTGAATCACAAACCTTGCGCAAAACCTCCTTCTAGGCATCCTATTTATTGAGAGTTCATCTTGAACTCTTTGCAGCAAGTTTGTAGGGAGCTTATTTGATGTTGCATCACGCAGTTATTCACACATTACATTGCCTTTTCTCATTATGTTTAGGAGAAATTCTGAGTGGGTTTGGGGGGGGGGGTAGATGGAAGTGGGTTTGTTCCACAAGTGTGCACACATGAACATGCCGGTATGTGCTTGAATCTCACCTACAAAACTGATGATCTGAAAGCAGCTGAAGTCTAAACAGAGGAGACCCTGATGGGAAGAGGGAGAGCAAAGAGGAGCGCTAGGATCCCCTAACAGGCTGGGTTCCTCTATTTTCTCCCACCATTAAGAGAAAATGTTTTTTCTTCCAATAAACAGAAGCTAGATGACTGGGACTAGTCATATACTTCCCCATCTGAAGTCATGAAAAGGAGTTTGGGCTGGCCGCTTTGCTTAGCTGCCTACAGAGAAGGAAAAGTGATGACGGGAAGGGAAGAGAGGGCATTGCAAGGCAGATAAGCAGGTGCAGTGGGGGAAGAGACTGCCTTAATGAAGTGTGCTTCTCCCACTCTTGTGTCAAAATCTTTTGTGAAACATTGCTAAGTTGCTTTTTCCGTGGTAGATGACTGGATGGAGCGAAGTACAAAATTAATGGGGTGTTCAGTCTATAAGGCATTAAACATTCATTATATAAAGGCAGTGTTTGACTAAAGCCTTGAGCTTGATTTCATCGGCTTTTCAAAAACGTTAAAGTAACATTTCTTCCCATAAGTTAAAAAGGGAAGTATCTATTTCCTTAACCCATGTGCGAGCTTATATAAGCATATTGTTAACTGACACAGCTGTGATATTTTCTGCACAGTGGAACTTTATTTTGCTGAGGAATGCCATTAAGTTTGTTTACTGACAATTTGTAATATCTGCAATTTCAGGGTAATTTTGGTGAAGTATATAAGGGAATATTGAAAGATAAAACTCCGGTTGCTGTGAAGACATGTAAAGAAGACCTTCCCCAGGAGCTGAAAATAAAGTTTTTATCAGAGGCCAGGTGAGTGGTGTAAATGTGAATAAATGGGCACTTGGGATCCATTACATACCTAAATTTAATGCAGGGAACAGGGAACAGTTCCTAGATTGTCTGAGACTAATCAATACTTTCCACTTCAAAATATATTTCAAATTAGCAGTGGTGGTGGAGGCCCTCCCTGAATTAATTCTCCCTGGAAGAAGTAAAATGTCATATGCAATCTGATATAATATCAAAGGTGAAAATAACCATCAACTGTTGATAGAAATTCCATATTGTGTAATATGCATACAATGGAAAACATTCCAAGTTAGATTATCTTACTGGGTCAATATTGTAATAAGTGACATCAAGAAACTATTGTACCCTTACAAACAACTTGGACTGCATGGAATAGGTTTCTCTTTCTCTTTTCTTTTTTGCTAAGAAACCTGGAACTATAGCAATTATTCATTATGAATTATTTACTGAGGCTCAATTGACATCTTACAGTTTTTTGTGGTTTTTCTTCTTTAAGGATAAACCACCTAGAAAACTATCTCAAAACAGTACTTGGCTGAAATATTATACAACCTTTAATGTTTCTCTAGATTTAACCTCAGCCACAATTTCCCAAGTGTGGCTTTGTGCAGTATAATAGTTAGATAGCTGTTTGTGGCACTTGGGTTTCATATCCTTGCACAGTTGTGCAGAACGTACCTCCCAGGGCTACTGACAGGATAAAATGTGAATTTGAGCTGAGCCTTGCCTGTGGGAGAAGCAGTTGGTTGAGGTCTGCCTATTCCTCACAGTCTTGATCTTTTTCTTCAGATCTTTAGTGATTTCAGTCACATTCCCTCCCCACCCTGGCCTTCCAAATCAAATGCGGAATGCATGATATAAAGGGCGGGATGGTGAACCTGCAGTCCTCCAGATGTTGTTGGGCTACAGTTCCCATCAGCTCCTCCTATCAGTAGGGAGGATTAGAATTCGACAATGCTTGGAGAGCCAAGGTTCCCCATCCCTGGTATAAAGGTTCCATGTGCTCTCAAGTACATTGGGAGTCAAGGAGGAACAGCCATGGACATCTAACTCAGTGCCACTCTTGGCTGCTCTGTATGCATAGAGCCCCAATGTTTTTGTTCCTTGGCAAGGCAAAAGTCCTCTGCCCTCCACCCAGGAATCCAACAGCCCAGCTCTTTCTGTGTAGATTGCATGTGCAATTCATGGTAAGAACAAGTGTGTGACTGGGTGGGGGGTCTGTTAGGGGAGGAGAGCCCTGTAGAGGACAGAATTGTAGAATTGCTATGAAGATGTGCTATGCTAGTGGCAGCACTCCCAAGCAGAGGAGGGGTGGGATCGATTGGGATATATACCTCTGTACTACTAGTGGATTTACTTGTCCATGCCATGAGGTATGGGAAGTATCAAGAGGTACTTGAGTAGTGTGTGTAGCCTTGGGTCTTACGGAAAAGGCAGAAGAACAATACCAGAACTTCAAAGAGCAAGGGAGAAGGCAAGCATTAAGGTAGTGCAAAAAAAGAGTAGCCATTTGGTAACTTGTACAAACTGTCGTGCTATATCCTGATGACGATTGACTCAAAAGGTTTCGAGCAATCTTCAGGTAGTAAATTGCTGCTTTCTAATACCAGCTTGAAGCCCTGTTCTCCTGGCTCTTGCAATCATGAGCTCTCCTAGCATTGGGGAAGGGGGGGGCATAACTGTACACCTGGGCTTTCCAGAACTATATGAGGAGCTAGATCATGCCACGGCTTGTTAATTTGTTAATGAGAACATCTCTTTGGAGCTTAAGTTGAAAATGAATCAGTGTAACTTCTCTGTTCACATCTTTAAAATGATTAAGATGGTAGAAGGCACAGGTGTTGATTGCAACTGGAGAGTGATCACATGCCATTTGTCTTCATGGAAATGTTCGAATCTCTTCCAGGATTTTCTGCCTATTCTAAAGTATTGAATATTTGCTTTCTATCTATTTTTATTTGTATGTACTTAGTCTGGTAGATGTTGATTAAAATAAATGACACTCTAGCCCTAGCACTTGCATGGTGGGGTAACTTAAATCTAAAGGGGACTATAGAGTCTCAATTTTAGCCCCACCCCTCTGTCACACTGCCCCTTACAGCTTCCCATATGTTCAGGGCAGATGTGTGCAGTGGAGAGTGTTTTGCACTCAAGTAGATTTCCCTGCACGTTCTAGAAATCTGGTTGCGTTTGGTTCTAGATGATATGAGTGAACCTGTATAAATATTTATGATGTGTATTTTCCTGTTTGCTTAAATTGTGCTATGGTTGTGTTTAATTTTTTTAAAAGTTACCCTGGGATTCTTTATGTGAAACATATTGGATAAAGTAAATGAATACATGCTCATGATCCCCTTTCATGTGTGTTGTCACTGAGAAGAGCTTTAGTTTTATCATCTTTCTTAGTAAGAGGTGGTTTCAGTTGTACAATGTGATTCTTTTCGTGTTTACTGAAACTCATCTGAGTTTATTTTAGTCATGTAGATGCTCAGTAACTTTTTTCCTACATAACTGAAATCAAGTTGATACAATGACATGATAAAACCTTTGTACCCCTTTTTCAGAATACTCAAACAGTATGACCATCCGAATGTGGTAAAGCTTATAGGAGTTTGCACTCAAAGGCAACCTATATATATCGTTATGGAGCTTGTTCCAGGTAATGTGTTCATTTATTCTTATAGCATTCTTGTAGTACCCAGGTTTCTAATCCTCCCCATTTGTTTGGATATACTCATTGTCCTTCCTCTGCATCTTCTCAGTTTAATTAATCTGCTCTTTAGAGACAAAAAGGTCTCTGATATCCGCACACTATTTCAGAATCAAAGAATAATTTTGTTTTTACCAGCAGGTGGAGACAGTATCAAAGTCATAGCTCATAGGCACATCCCATTGTAAATCAGTATGAATCATGGGAATATGTGCAATCTGCTATTCCATGTTCATTCCACATAGTGAATACATATGTGAAGAGCAAAAAGTAAAAGTCTTATTCTATAATATTAGATTAATCAGTAATTCAGTACCTCACTTTCACTTAAAAGGAACAGGGAAGTTCTCAATTAGGGTTAGGCTACATACTGAACCTGTGTTCCCTGAGCTGTTCCTGGACTCCAGCTCCCATCAGTCCCAAGCAAGAAGGTTAATGGTCAAGGATATTGGGAGTTGTAGTCGAGCAGCACCTGGGCTACATCCCCATCCCTGGGTTTACATGTATTTTCAATGCTTTTGGTGCACAAATATTGTTGACTAGCTTAACTAGTCTATTTTTTCTTCTTCAAAGTTTTCCCCCTCACTTTGAGTTACAGGTGAGGAGGTGTTGTCATTGGAAGCAAGGTCAGTTGCTTTCTGTCTCATAATCTTTGCTGAACCTCGTGCCCCTTTTGCTAACAAAAATATATTTTTGGAGAGAGAAATGTGGAGAATATGCTGTTGCCATATCACTCAAAAGATTAATATTCCATATGGTTCCTGAGTGCAAAACCAGGGTGGAATTATAACACGGGGTAAGTGTTTATACCAAGGGTGAGGAACCTGTGGGCCTTCAGATGTTGCTGGACTCCCAACTCCTATCAGACCCAGCCAGCATGGCCAGTGGTCAGGGATGATGGGAAATTTTGACCAACATCATCCAGAGGCCCTGGCTTCCTGGTTTATACAATTTGGATGTATCAGTCTTGAGTTGACTTTTTTTAAAAGGGTTAATCTAGTTTTTTATGTTTTGTTCTCTATGGTGTACCATGACCAAAGCAGCTCATGATCAATACCAAAATACAGCATCATAAACAAGGAGTTCATAACAAAACATATCAAGCAAATTCAAATAGGACAAAGTCAAGTAATCAGATTCAGTACTATAATGAATGATACTTTTAAATACAAAGGCACAATAAGAATGATTGGTTTGTGAAAAAAGTTTACCCAGTGTTTGCTACTACAGTAGTTGCAAGTCTTGCCTCAGCAGCCCAGTTTATATAACAGTCTGGCATGTCTGGGGCTGAGCTTCTCACCAGGCTGCATGGCTTGCAGCTGGCTCCTTCATTTCTCCTCTAAGAATGGAGCATTAAAAGGGAAAAGGCTGCCCTGCACCAAGAGCAGCGAGATGTTAGACCTTGATGACAACTATTTGTATTTTTATCTCATCCCAGTAGTGTAAATAGTCTGGTAAAAAGATCTGAAGAACTCGAGGAAACCTGGAGGGCAGCATGAGAGCTAGCCACCTTGTCACTTCCAATTTATATGATATTATTCCTATGGCAATGAAGCATCTGCCTTTGATTGGCTAAGGTGGTATGGTGACATGGAATGTTCATCTTGCAGTCCAGCTCCTGTGTAAGAAACGTTTTCAGTTAGGCTGGATTAAATGCTTCGGCAGGGGCTGGTTGTGGAATGGAAAACGTCCCAGTGTGCAGAGAAGCCAAGGAGAAGCTCAGAGAAAAGGAGGCTAGAGGAAGGATGCATAGTTGGATTTGGGCTGGGAAGGGCAGAGAATAAAGCAACTGAGGCAAAAGGGAGCTACAGTAATGAGACTAGGAAAAAGGAACCGCATCCTAGTCTTTGGGCCGCATGGTGTGGAGGAACTGAATGATGTGAGAATGAGTGCTAGGTAATTTGCTTAAGAAACATGGAGGACAAGGGAAGTGGTTGCTTGGTCTAGAGCCTTGAAAAGGGAATTGTGCCAGGCATGGCTTCTGCTGTCACTGCAGCATTGTGACTTGACTTTCTTAAGGGTGCAACAGTTGGAACCAAAAAGCAGGAGGCAGGGCTGGATTTCACGTACTGAAACCCAACGTTCCCCAACATTGTGCCCTTAAGATGTTTTGGATTACAATCCCCAAGAGTTCCAGCTGGCTTTGGCAATTGTCTGGGGTGATGGGAGTTGTAGTCCAAAATATCTGAAGGTCAAAAAAAACGTTGCAGAAGGGTGGGGTGGAGACTGGTAAAAAGTGTTAAAACCAAGAGGCAGGCAGCAGGATCAGAGTTAAAATAGAACAAGCCGAGGTTGGGAGCAGGGAGGCCTGAGGAAGAGTCTCAAGAATCAAGGTGACAGCAGGGCACAGAAGGAAAACATGCACTTGCACCCAGGAAATCAGATAGAAACCTGGAACTGGAGTAAGAGTTGAACAAGGCATGCCTAGCAGAGTTAACCAGAAAGCAGCAACTCCCAGGACTGTAACTGCTGCCACATACAGAGGACACGAGCATGGCAAGGGATGGGGGTCAGGAAGCAGTTGCTCAGGTTTCAGTCCTATGTAGCTGAAATGATAACTCAGCAGCTATGTTTCTCTAAACAGTGACTTCAGTTGTTTCTGCCCTCAACTCTGTTTAGGATCATGAGCACATGGCTGCTTTGTTTGTGGCACATGCTTCTACTTGCCCACTCCCTTCTCTTATTGGTGGCAAATAGATATTCTCAGCCTTTTTTTCTGTAAGTAGAAGCTGCCATTTGGCCCATGGGAGCAATCATAAATGTGGTTTGAAAGATGCCAAGCAAAGTTCTACTCATAGCGAGTGATTCAGATGATCTGTCAGGAGTTGCAGTGGCAAGGAACTGCCACAAGCAGAGTAGTCCTATAAGGTCATAAATACAGCTGAGGTATCCGTCTGAGCTGGGGGACTCGTGACACAATTTCAGTGTTTTTTCTTTATTATAATGTGCTCAAAGAAGTACTAAATTTAAGGTGGACTGGACAGAAAAAAAGTATTCTTGAAAGGATGAAGAAGTAGGGATCCTCTTAATGAAATATTTTAGGGTATGTATTTTGAAACCATTTTTCTGCCTTCTGTGCCCTTTAGCTGGGAACCAATCACATAATACTGTTTTTAATTTGTAGCTTTTAAATGTGTATGGTTTTCATATGGTTTAATATAGATGCAGCCCCTACTGAATCACTGGTTTGTATTTTAGTGTCAGCATATAACTGCAAAATTCATGCCAGTGTGCTTTTTATAGCTTTAATATTTCAAAGCTTATTCCTTTTGATTTCATCCATCAAAATATTGCTGATACAGCATTAGCCATTTGTGGATACTTTAAAATAGTATTCCATAATGCTTTGTTTGGTTGCTCTAATGTTTCATTTGGTGCATAATATTCCAAAACAAATGAGGATGGGAGAGCATAAGCTGACCACTTATTATCATGGTGAATAATCATTAATTGTTTGAAATGGGAGCCAGATATTTCAATTTGCACGTTGCATAAGTTCAAAGCCTGTTAGCATACTCCATAAGAAACTGTTGACATTTTTATCGTTCTCCTCTGGCTGGCTATTGTATCTTATACCACTACTTATTTTTTGTGTGAGGTTATACAGTAAAAAAAGGCTGAACTAAAAGAAAAAAAATACCTTCTCCAATTTGAGAGCTGCTGCTTGTTTCTTTTTCTTTTTAAAAATATACAAAGACAGAACTAATGGAATCATAGTACTAGTAGTTTCTGCAGCAAACAAGGGAGAGAAAACTTTCTTCCAAATGTAATTCTTCTGTCTTGGCCCTCAGGTTTAGGAAGAGGTGAATGCCCCCAGGTAGGTCTAGGAATGCCCCCAGTCTGAATCCCTGAAGAGCCTCTGTTGATCAGTGTAGACAATACTGAGCTACATGGACTAATGGGCGGTAGAAGGCAGCTTTTCTGTGTTGCTGAGCCCCTCTTCCAGTTTGTCACCTAATGATGGGCTACCATCATGTTCAAGAAGTCCTCCTGGCCTTCCTGTCAAGAGTTGCTACAAGCCCTAGAACATTTTGACTTCATAGCAGTTGAAACAGTGGTTGGGGAATCTTCCCCTTTTTACATATGCATGAAGAGGTCCCCATTTGTCTCAGTACTGTGTTCTCCATCACCGCTTCTGCTGCCTCATACTTCCATCACTTGTTCTCTAGCCCCCTCCTGCTTCTCGCACCTCTCTCCTTTTTGTCCTCATATCAATGACATTGGACTCTCACTCCAGCCTTTTTCTCCCAGTTCCAACTTCCACATCTCTGTGCTTCCTCATCCCTCCTCAGATCTTCCATGTCATCACTGCAGTTTAGCCAACCTCTGGAAGGAAACTTGCAGACTCACAGGCAAGTGCCTTAAACTAAAGCCTTTCAGCTTATGTGTGCTTTTTCCTGTAAGACCAATTGCATTCATTAAAAGTCATCAACAGGTTTACCACACCTATCAGCCAATCACCCATTCCCACCACCCTTCTGAGTAATACCCCTCCCCACCCTCTCACTATATATAAGGGTCTGGTGATTTCTCTTTCAGTGTATCTGAAGAAGTGTGCATGCACACTAAAGCTCATACCAATAACAAACTTAGTTGGTCTCTAAGGTGCTACTGGAAGGATTTTTTTTATTTTGTTTCAATTACGGCAGACCAACACGGCTACCTACCTGTAACTATATTCTCAGAGTATTAGACTCGGACGACTCAGCTTCTCAACAGTGTTGCTATTTGACTCATGGTAGTGATAGCACTTTGCAATAGTTTTCACCAAGTAAGGCTGCTCATTGTGCAGTTGTACTTCTTTGGGTGCATGAAAGTGAAAGAGAATATAGTGATAAGACCCCGTTTCCCCTTTCTGGGTTCATGTAAACATTGCAAATTACTTGCTTCAGCAGCCTTAGCTAGAGTCTGTACCTGCAGTCTTCTCAAGATCCAGACACGTTAGTTAA